AAATTCTGGTGAGTATTGACTTATCCATGCAGAACTGGCTACATAATTTGCAAGGCTCAGTGCAAAAGAAAATGTTTTTTAAATTATTAAACATTATAAATTATTTAAAAACTAGAGGCCTGGTTCATGAAAATTCATGCAATGGGGGTCCCTCAGCCCAGCCTGCACCCTCTCACAGTCTGGGACTGTTGGGGGATGCCCACCTGCTGGTTTAGGCCTGCTCCCCAAGAACAGATCATCTAAAAGAAATAATCATATCCTTGGGTAAGGATTTTTTAAAAAGGTAATGGTCACATGAAAATTCACTGCCGGTGGGGCTGAGGGGACTGGGCGCTGCCATCTTGTGAGGGCATGATGGTCAATTACCATATTACCTCTTTATTATATAGGATTATTAAATATTTCAAGATGGTGACAGCAGAGCTTAAACCAAGTGTGGGGCCCATGTAGGCATGGAGCTTTGGGTAACTGCATAGGTGGCAAACCCAGGAAGCTGGCTCTATTTCCATATTATAAAAATCTGGAACTTAGGGACACATTTCATAAAGAACTAGAGGCCCAATGCATGAAATTCGTGCAAGGGCCTTGGCCCTGGCCCCTGCCCTCCGCCGCTGCTGCGACTGGGGGCCTCTGCCACCTCTGCCTTGGTCCCCACCTGCTGTGGCTTTGTCGGAAGGAAGGAAGGACGTCTGGAAGGACATCCGGTCTAATTAGTATATTAACCTTTTATTATTATAGATTGCACTGGTAAAGTGAAGAGAATGAGAGGAGAGTTACAAGGGAGTGAAAAGAATCTCTGGAAAACAGGATGTGAATGAAAGCATGCTGACAAATGAAACAGAAAGACATTGCAGTTCAAAATAATTTCGAGAGAAATGCAGCAGAATTGGGAATCGATTTTCTGAGTGCTACCTAGATGAGGGGTTGGTAGGTGCAGTTTGAGAAGATGAGACCAGAAGTAATAGAACAGCCATAGCTGATGCTCATAATTTTTTCCCTCCATCAGCAAAGGCAGTCTTGTGATTACAGGGAGTCATAACACCGGGTTCTCACCTCTAAAGACAAACAGCCCAGGGAAAATTAATGCTGATCGAGGAGGGAAACAAACACACATCCACAACAGAAGAGCTACCACACCAGCTATCTAGGAAAATCCGCTCAGACCTTCATGCTTGAATATGAAATGACAACCAAGAATCATCAGACAGAGAATTACAGCAGCAACCATGGGAAAGAACTAAACACTCATAAAAAGGGATACTTGAGGGAACATAATTTAGTAAACAGACGGACCCCAGCAAGATGTATCCAAAGAGATGTCGGTGGGAACCCAGAAATCACGTGAAATCAGATAACCACTCAGCTGGAAAGACGGAACCAGTCTAAAAGCAGTAAGTTTAGTGGGTTCCTAATCTTCAAGAACAATTCATTGGATTTCAAGCAATAAAGACGAATGTAAAGCTGCAAGATCGTAGAGATATCGTGAAGGTTACAAGAAAAAGAATATCAGTTAGAAATGCTAGTAAAAAAATTGAAACGGTATAATGGAATCATCATTCAATAGAAAGCAAAATAAAGACGAAACAATTTTGAGAGCAGTATTAGAAGAGAGAGATCATTTCTTTATCTTGGTATTTCCCTCTTCATGTGACACAGCGGTCCTTGGCTGGGCGCTGGGGGCACGGACCCCCAGGCAGCTCGTCTTGGACAAGCTCATGCTATAGCGGGGGGCACACTCGTGGGTAAGGGACTCACGGCGGCAACTTCCGGTAGGTGGATTCGCAGCCACAGAAGCAGGACCTGCGGAAAGGTTCCCTTCCAGCTTCCCCAGGACCCAACCCGCAGTCGCTCGCTCAGCTTCCCCCCTTTCATCCGCGGCGCTTCTGCCTAACTGAGCCTGCGCCAGCACTAACGCGCACGCGCCAACACCGGTCCAATCAGAATCTCAAACCCAAATTCCAGGTGGGAGGACTCCTTGCGGGGTGGGGCGGGATCTTCAGGCCGAACCACGGCCGTGATTGGTCGGTGGAGGGGACACACGTTCTCCTTTAGGGAAGCCTCGCCCGCCGGCCAAATGTAGTGAACTCTTCTCCTAATTTGGGAAGGGTCCGGCGCGGGCCTGGGCGGGGCGGCGCCGAGTGCGCCTGCGCAGAGCGTCCGCCCGGGAGCGTTCTGTTTGGGTGTTGCTTCAGCTCGGGCGGGCGGGGTGCATCTCTCTCACCCGCAAAACGCGCCCCGCGGGAGCCGGCAGTTTCCACGTACAGCCTGTGAGGTGCTGCCCGCTGAGGTGAGTGTGTGTGGCAGTGCACTTGGCTTTGCCTGTCTCCGCGCGGTTTGAGGGGTGCTGGACCCTTTCCACGCCCCCGCCCCATCCTCCAGCTTGCACCCGGTCCTGGCCCCTGGATGCCCACTTTGCAGGGCGCGGGGGAAGCCGAGGGTGGCAAGCAGAGTTCCCTCCTTTCTGTTTCCGCACCCTCCTGCCTTCACCCACGTGCTTGTTGTTGTCGTTTGGTGCAGATCATGTCCAAGTCCCTGAAAAAGTTGGTAGAGGAGAGCCGGGAGAAGAACCAGCCGGAAGTGGACATGAGTGACCGCGGCATCTCCAACATGCTGGACGTCCACGGCCTGTGTGAGTGCCGGGGCCCCGCCCTCCCCTTGGAGGGGCTGGAAGGGCGTGTAAGTTTTTCAAGGAACTGCCGGCCATTGTGTGAGCGGTTGTCATGGCTTATAGGCCACCCTCTGCTTGTAAACATCACTTGTCAAGACCTTAGAAAGTTTGCAGTCAGAATGTGCTCTCTTTTGCCTGGAAAACGCGCGTGGGGGCCCGGGCAAGATCACACAGATGGCTGCTGCTGCTGCGCCTCAGCGGTTGTCTGTGCGGATTGATGGCATTTGGGTGGATTGTCCACACGGTTTACTTAATAGCCACTTTATTTTTTAATTGAAAATCTTTTTTTAAAAAATTATTCTTCTTTTCTCCTAATATAGGCTTTGGCCCTTGAACAAATGCCGCACAAATGTTACATGACAAGTGTTCTTGTGCCTGGAGTATGTTAAACATTTCTCGACTCATTACCATTTTGTGGGTCTGTTCTCTTTCGTTTAAGCTTTTGTTGTTTCCAGCTTGTGCTATGGTGATGTCTTCCTAACTCTCCACTTGCCTCCAGGTTTACGGACCCTGTGGTCTAGTCTTTATTGCTCGCAGTGCTATTTTTTCAGTAACACAAGTCTCTCTGTGTTACTCTGTGCTTTAAACCAGGGAATACAAACTCAAAGGTCTGGGGGGTAGTCATGACCTCCTTAACGGTATCCCACCTACTACTCAGATCCAAACAGTTGTTACCACCTGGAGAAGTTTGCTCAGTGTTGCCAGAGTGTTTTTGTTTGTTTTGTTTTTTAAGAAAACAAGTATCCAGGTGAAACTTACCAATTTTCAGAAGTTGGCGATTCATTTCAGTATTTGAAAAATACTTTATAAAGGTGAAATAAAATACTCTTCAGGCTGAATGTGGCTTCAGTTTGGACCTTCTCTCTTAAACACCTCTGGTTGCTCATTACCAACAGCAATGCTCCAGTTTCCTTGGCATGACATGCAGGGCCTTCCTGAGTCTAACCACAACCCACCTTAGGTCCCGTCCCCTCCGTGCATTTGGTGTCCCAGCCATTCTACCTCATTGTCCTTCCTGAGCCAGGGCACACCCTTTCAGGTTTATATACCTTTACAAGTATTGTTTCCTCCCTCTTCACTCTTCTTCGCCCAAAATATTTTTACTGTTTATCAGGAGTCAGCTAGGTAAAGCCTCTGTCTGTCCCAAGCTGACATAGTTAACCTTCTCTCCTATGAAGCTAGACATACCTTGTTTCATTACCCTCGTTACACAGGATTGTAACCTGTTTTTAACCTAGCTGTTTCTCTTCCCCGCAGGGAGCCTGCAGGGGCTTAAAGCTGGGCAAAATTCATATTTGCCTTCTTTATAATATTGCCTGGAACACAGTAGGTGCTCATAATGGTTGATGGATGAAAGAAAGAAGGCTGGCTTAGGCCTGTGAGTTTATGAGATCCACACTAGTTTGTGACAATGGAGACGAAGGGGAGAGGTCCAGGAGACCCGAAAATATAATGGATTGCTTGTTAGGCGTGGAGAGAGCAGAGTCAGATTTACTGTGACTCCGTGGTTTGTGCCTGGACAGACATGGGGGATGGTGCCATTGATACATCTCTGAAAAGTTGATGAAAATTTTTAAGCTCTTAGGAAGATATCTGCCATTAGGCTTAGCTTTTGTACTGATTAGCATCTCAGCCTCCTGCTGTGTGTTGGCCTCTCTCAGTGGTGATGGCTTCCCTGGGGCAGCAACAGAGCAGATGTCTCTGGTACTGAATTGGCACTTGTGGATCTGGGTGTGTCCCGAGCTGCCCCTGCCTGGTCCTGGTGATCACCGGGACACCGCTGCAGTGGAGGGAGGAGGTGGGGAGCTGCCAGCAGGAGGCCTGGCTCTGCTGTACTCTTGGCCCCATGGCTTTCTGCTCCTTGGCACTCATTTTCTCATGGGCTTGAAGAAAGAGGTTGCTTTCAGCAGAAAAACATTATATTTCTCAGCTTTCAAGAGAATTTTTTTCTGTGTAATATAAGTAGGGAGAGTGGTGTAGCTATTTTGTTTCAGTTGCATTATCTCTTTGAGGGCTTGACTTTTATTGAAGAAAAAAGAGCCACTTGCTTCCTGAAAAAGATGTTTCCGTTGTAATATGAGGTGGTGGAAAGTAAGATCATCCTGAATTTTTCCTAGAGAGCATACTAAAGGAAGAATGTACTTCCTGGGGAGTTCAGGGGAAGTGAGTTTGGCCTCTGTGGTGTGTGTAGACCCAAGGAGTGGCTGCTTTCTGCTATAGCTCCCTGACTTTTGGAGCCGGGAGGTTCTGAATGCTTTCCAAAGCCTATTCCTCACTGGAATTCATGTATCAGTAGTGCACATCATATTTTACATGTTAAAATATTTGACAAGATTATATTTATTGCAGCATGAGAAGCCACAGCCTTTTCTTTATAACAATTTTAGCTGTTATCATGTAGTTTTATGAATAGTTTTATTGGTTTAGTGCTAAGATAAGCCTCTTTGGAGAAACTGAAAAAAAATGTAAGGGCATTAAAGGGAAATTATGAGACACAATAACCATTCTCTTCCACTGAACTCCCCAGGAAGTATGTTCATTCTTATCTCCCAAAAGATAAGAATGGAGATTTGTGCTTATTCTCATATGAGATGGCCATCTGTCTGTCTGCTTGGGAGAGTTGTGTCTAAGAAGCGCAGCACTGCCTCTGAGACAGTACTTGGCCTTAAAAAATGTTTTCAGCATCTTAGATACCAAAAGCTTTCTGATGGAGAAAACTTCCTAGGCCAGAGACAGCCAGCAGACAGGTTCTAGAGTTTCCTGTCAGATTCTGGAAATGGCCAAATCCTGCTTTGCCAGGCAGGAGAGTGCGGTACTCATAAGTGGGGCCTTGGAGTGGAATAGTGTGGCTTCCGATTCTCCATCTTCTCCTTACTGCTGTGAAACTTCAGAGAAGCTGCTTAACCTTTCTGAGCCTCAGTTTCCTCATTGTCAAATGGAGATGTAAGTACCCATTTGGTTGGATTGGTTCAGTGCTAAATGCACTGATGTACGTCAGCTGCTGAGCACTATGCCTGCACATGAAATGTTAACTATTAATGGGAAGTTCCAGATGGAACTTGGTAAGCCTCAGCTATCACCAGTTCCACCATATCGGCCTGAACCAAGAATGCATGGTTAATGGCATGTGTCCTATGGGGATTATATATATATATATATATATACACACACACACACACACACACACATATATATTATACAGTGGGGCCTTGACTTATGAGTTTAATTCCTTCCGAGACTGAGCTCATTAAGGAGCTCGTTAAGGAACTCGTTAACTCAAATTACTCTATCAACTCAATGCAAAAAATCAGCCGAGAGATAGCTGGTATCTCAAAAAACTCTTTAGTCGGGACACTCTTAAGTCAAGGCCCCACTGTATATATATTTTTATTGATTTCAGAGAGGAAGGGAGAGGGAGAGAGAGAAACATCAATGATGAGAGAGAATCATGGATCGGCTGCCTCCTGCACGCCCCCCCACTGGGGATCAAGCCCACAACCCAGGCGTGTGCCCTGACTGGAATTGAACCTGGGACCCTTCAGTCCACAGGCCGACAACTCTATCCACTGAGCCAAACCGGTTAGGGCCTGTGTGGATGTTTTTACGTGGCTTATTAGGATCTGGAGGGCATGGTACTTTTGCCTAGGGTTGTTATAGATTTAGATTGCTGTTATTTTTTTAATTACCCCTCATTTTTTCTTTCTCTTCATTTTCCTATAGGACGTGTAATCTGCACACATGTTCTCCTTAAAGCTTCCAAGTGTAATGACACCGATTTTGTTCTTTTTATTAAAGAAATTTCACTGCAGAAACTCTCCCACACAGCAGCTGTCTTCACTGGATGATAAAGTTGCTTTTGAAGGGTCCTGAAATCAGCTTCAGGGAGCTAAGAATCCCATCAGGAGCCTGCAAGATTTCCCCCATTTCTTTTACTTAAGTCTTTTGTGACGTTTTAATCTCTTCAAGTTTATTACCCTCTGGGTGTTCAGGCCTTTATCAGTTTTTTTTCAGGTTAGGCTGAAATATCTTTCAGATCAATCTTAAAAAATAACCTGCCTCGGAGGTCTTTCTAAAGGAGCCTATAAAATAATCCACAAAAGTACTCATAGGTTCTTTGGTTTCAAAAGCTGTGTTAAACCTGGAAGTAGTCACTTCTATTAGGTATGTCAGTTACAGACATACCTTGTTTTATTGTACTTCACAGATGTTGCTGATTTTTACAAATTGAAGTCAAAGACCCTCCAGCACAAAGAGATTATGACTCGCTTTATTGCAATACTGACTTTATGGAGGTAGTCTGGAACTGAACCCACAATATCTCTGAGTATGCCTGTAGGTTATCTTCGAGGGGAAGGTTAAAGAGCTGGGAAGACCATGTCTTGTTAGCTGTAATCTTTATTAAGACCTTTTATATTTTGACTCCTCTAAGTTGCCTGTATATGCCCACCTTTGTGTTTCTTTTTGTGTGTGTGTGTTTTTTAAAGTTTATCTTTATTGTTGAAAGTATTGCAGATGTCCCCTCTCTTTTTCCCATTGACCCTCTCCACCCTGCAATATCTTGGCCTGGGCAGCCCTTTTCTCTCCCCAGCTAACGAATCCCTCCCTTGTCACTTAATGCTTGTAAAAGAAAGAATGATTTATCTATCTACATAACTCCATTGAGATGTTTCCCCACCATCCCATCCAGCCTGGGTTAAGTGGCTCTTTTGGGCCTAGTGGGCTTGCTTCTGTTATCTCTGTACTTGGCATTGTGCTTGGGGAAAGTTGATTGAAGAAGGGTGCTATTGCATTAATTAAGAGTTCAGTTGAGCTAGGGTGGACAGCATAGCACAGCTGAGGGAATGTTGCCTCTGTGTCCCTGCCACTGACTTCTCCCCGACTGTCCAGAGGGAACAGTTTACAACCATTAGGAACAACATAGTGTTACGGGTTCACTCAGCGAGATAGACCACCAACTCAGA